TGGCACAGAAGCAAAAATTATCCATCCAATAGGCTTTGGAGGAAATACTGACGGACAGTGGTGCTGAAACAGAAAAATGTTTTATTTTTTGAGCAAGAAGAGACGGTCAAACCGAACGATGTTTATGAGTAGGCTCACTTTTTATTTCCAGCATCTTTATCTGACATGTCGATTGCAGTTAGTCACAAATAACAGTTATTTTATAGTATGTTTCTTTTCTTAATTAATCAGAAAGTTGAAAAGTCTTTTCTGAATAAAATTCTCGTTGTATGAGATAAAATTCTTGTTGTATGGGCACAGTTTAGCTAATTTTCCTCTTGGTTTTATTGGTATTATGCTGTTCCCAATAGCACATCTTGATGAAAAGCACATATTATAAGAAGAAGTAGCCATACCAAGGAAATCAGCACTTTCTTTTCACCAGAATGGGTAAAAACATTTTTCAGTGAGTAAATAGCATAAATCAGTAAATGAAATGAGAGAAATATAAATTTTCCGACCACAAGAGAAAATTTAGAAATCAGAAAAATCACTTGCAATGCTCCATTCTTGGGGCCCCTTATCCCCTTATGTCAGTTTATAGCAAACAACAAGATCAGTTACTATAAGTATGCAGATGACATACACCTTTACATCACAAAATCACTAGGTGACTATGAACCCGTCAGAGCATTGGTTAGATGTATAGAACAGATCAATAGGTAAATGTTCCATCACTGGGAAAAAAAACAAAAAAACAAACTGAGATAATAATATACTGACCAAAGCAAGAGAGGTCCAGAGTTAAGTCACAGTTTCAGCTATTACAGCTAGAAACCCCTGATTATGGCCAAGATGTTGGTGTGATGATGGACTCAGACCTGAACCTTCATAGACACATAAAGGCCATTACTAAGTCAGCCTTTTATCACCCGAAGAACATTTCCACGATTAAAGGACTAATGTCCAAGCAGTCCTTACACTTACTTTCTGTAGCTCAGAGAATATACTTTAAAATCCCTCAGATAGTCTATATATCAATGAATGGATAATCACCTCAACACTTAAAAATTATGAGTTTATCAACCTCCCAGACTGAGGTTTTTCTAAATGAAGCCGACTCACCTTGAACTGGAAGCAAAAATCGCAAAGTAGCATTTAGTTCCTATTCTCCACTTGTCTTGATTGAACTTCCTGAAGACTGTAAAGTGCTGAAAGCCTGAGTTCTTTTGAAACCTCTTTTTTTTTTTAGAACACCCTCTGACTGTTAAGCCCTTAACTGTAGTCCAACTGTTTAGTTTTTTTCGCCATCTGCTTTTATAAAGTTTTTCAATCTTCATTTCCTTTTATTCTGCGATTATTTTATTCTATTTTACTCTTTAATTAATGTAAAGCACCTTGAATTGCCTTTGTACTGAATTGTGCTATACAAACAAAATTGCCTTGACAGAAATAAGCAATTGTGTCATTAAGAAGAATAATATTTCTTTACGGGCTTTTTTATTCTATTTTTTAAATCATATTCTAGTTTGGGATGCCAAGACAAAACTACCAGCTATGTCCCACATTGGTTCTTCCTTTGTATCTTTACAGGCATTTAGTGCATAAGTGCTTAATTTTCATTATTGATTTGGATCTTTAATATGTATTTTTTTTATGTTTTGTTTTTAGAAAGTTAGAAGCAGGTTGTATGTGCTATACTTCACTAATGTGGAAAAGCTCCCAGGAAAACCCTAAAGCAATGAAACACTAAGTGGCCTTAATTCGAGATTAAAAACAGATTTTTTTTAGAGTGGCCTTTTATTGTTATTTATAAACACAAGTAGTAAAGTTTTCAACTGTTATTTTTTTATGTAATCATATGCAGTGCCCCCGCAAATATTGGCACCCCTGTTTAAGATGTGGTCGAGGACTTAAAAAAATTCTCCATTTTATTTCTATAGAATTTTTGTGTGTGACCTTTATGTCACAATTTACTTTAGGTTTACTTCTTTTCTTGGGCAGGGCACTGAATTGTTTTACCACTGAAATGTGCTATATAAATAAACTTGTCTTTCCTTAAGCTTTGGCATCTCTTTCATTGAAATTTAAAGCAGTAGTGAATGTTTCATCTTAGAAACCAAATTATCTTAAATGCATGTTTTCTGAAATATATATATATATATATATATATAAAAAAACACCAAATCTCTTTATATGTTTTGATATTTAAAACTAGGTTTTTATATATTAGTCAGTTCTAATCTTAATCTTTGTCATTAACGAATGTATGGGTGTTTTGGATCAAACTTTAGTGTGTGAACCAAATGAAAAATATTTTGGTGGTCAATCCTAAAGTACCTTATATTTTCCAGTTTTGGTAGACATTATTTAACTGAGATTTATTTAAAATGAATAATCTTGAGTTTTATAACCACTGCATATTTTTTGGAAATACTAGTTATATATTCTATTACATAGTATTGTATGATAAATTCATTTTTCTGTGTGATGCATTCTTTCAACTTTTAAATTTGTTTAGTTTTGACTTCTCTTCATGAATGTAGTCAAACCCTTACTTTGGGCCGAAGGCCTCAGTATTGGCTAATGCTACTTCACAGCAGGAGTATATTTGGCTTCGAGCATCTAGTATCTAATTGCAGAGGATATTATCTATTAATGCTATGTCTTTTCACCACTGATCTAAGAAATTTAGATCTGAAATTCAATGACCAAACATTAAAGTTAGCATTTAATGTTCATTTTAGGTCATGAATTATTCATTCAGTCATTTACAGTGTAAGCCGACACAGAGAAAAGCTATAAAGAAAACAATGCGATACAAAAATGCTGTGTCCCTCTTGGAGGTCTAAAAACCTGTTTTATAAGAGTTATTTTATTCAGTTATCTGTAATACAAAACCTAAAGCAAGTGTCCTAAAATTGTCTCTTACATCTGCTGCATAATGATAGTTATTTGTATAACTGAAGGAAAAAACAAGTCTCCACAAACTGTATGTGAAATCTAAAACTGCATCTGACCTCAGCTTGCTGTGCTACAATAAATTAGAAATACAATTTAATAGCTATTTATCTATTTTTTGCTTTCATTTCTTAGAAGAATTATTTTCAGTAGTAATTCACTACAACTCCACAGACGTTGTGTGATAAAGGTGCAGCCATTAATCATAACTTTTATTATATCTCCCTTTTTTTTTCTTTAGAAAAACTTTCGCTTAAAACAGAGTAATTTGATCATTGATTTTGTAACATTTATTAGCACACTTGCTCTAGGACCTAATAGGTCAGTAAATAAAAGTAGGTTGCATTATTTTATCTGATTTACCAATAAATAGGGAATCATATTAATTAAATTTTTATTATCTAAAAAGTATTGATTAAAATGTACAGAAATAGCAGTTATAAGCTTTAACGTTGCGCTTTATACTGCATGGTTTATTACCCAACAATAACAAAAAACACTTGATTTGGTGCATTTCATTTAGATGTAGGTACTAAGAAATGTTTTGCAGCGTTTCACAACAGCAGGTTTAAAGCAGGAATGGTGCATGTTGCTAAACTAAGTTTATTTTTTAAGTGAGCGCTGAAATGGTTGAAGAAACCCAATTCGATGCTGAAGGTTCTTTTTTTAATTTTTAATTTTACTCACAACTTTTCCACAGAGTCATGTGTTGAGTATAACAACTGGGTAAAGTAGTAATACTGAACAAAAACGTATGCATATTGTGACATTGGAATTAGTTTTCCTTTTTCAAATATTAATATGTATGACAGAACAGTTATAAAGCTGTTTGATCTTCATGACCAGGACATAACTGGATGAAAAGGACTTTGGCAAAAGTGGATAAAGAAGTAAAATATTACGTTTACCTACCTTGCAGTTATTAAAGACCTGCAGCCCCTTGAAACATCTACCTAGAATAAAGAAAAACATTTTTGTGAAAATTACCACAATGACTGGCATTGTCCAGTTCTTCATTTAAATCAGGCATCTTATATTTGATTGTAGATCTACATTTTAAGAGGCATACTAATACGAAATATGAAAACTAACAATAAAATTGTTTGTATACAAGCTTAATACTGCGGTTAATAAATAATTAATATAAAATAAGATAATGTTATAAATAATAGATAATGTTATAAATTAAGAGACACTGGAATAGAAAAACACTATCAAGAATAGTTTAGTTTCCCTGAAACAAAATGATTGTTAATTTATCTCTACAGGGACAAAACCATTCCAATATGATTAAATATACCAATAAGTTTCCAAATAAAGGTATCTATTTAATATTAGGAGCGATGCATGGCAGTCATTTACATTTCTTTGTTGTTTTTTTTTACTTGGTTTTGCAGAACATCTAGAACTAAAGCTGACAGCAGTAGTAGCATGAGAGGCACTGAGATCTAAGATTTAACTCCATTTGTGTATTGAATTGACAAATCAAATTTTAAACATGCAGAATAAAGAATAAATACATTTTGTGGATTTTATTTTCCTGTATTGAGCAAAGTTATGTAACTGTTACGATCACCCCCTTCTACCTTCTTAGACTGCAAAATAAAGTATGAAAAATTAAAGTAGGACAAAATGGTCATCAGGCCATTGTTTGTACAAGAGTGATGAATACAGTCATTACAGCACATTTATAAAATTGATGTAAAAGTCCACACCCACTTCATTCCTTACTGTTCTGATTGAATTTGTTGAATCTGTTTGTAGTCATTAAATGTGTTGAATTAAAACAAATCTTTTTGCGATGTGAACTTTCCACCCATTTCTCTAGTTATGATAAATGATATTTTGCATAGGGTAAAATAAAGGCTAAAATTTTAAAGAATGTATTTCCGTGGATCTCTGAAAACAACATTTGAGATATTTTCCATATGCCAATGCTAAGCAACACATTTTCAGATAGCTTTTAAATGTAAGTGTATTCTTCTTTATATTTTCTGGAAGTATTGAAATAGAGGCCTTGTTCCGTCTTAAAAAGGGTCTCTCTTTCTTTCTTTTTTTAGTGTATCCAGATCTCTGTAACATCAGCCTGGCTGCTGTGGGAGATGCAGAGAAGCACCAAAGTCGGATTGGATTCTGGGATGATGTTTATGGCTTCAATATGGCATGCATGAAGAGTGCTGTGGTGCCTGAGGCTGTGGTGGAAGTCGTGAATGCAGAGACACTCATATCTGAACCTGCCGTCATACAGGTATGAGAATTTTTTTATCAACAAATTAGAACAAATCTGAAGAATCTTATTTAGTTTGCAGGCTGCTCAACCACTTACCAAGGGTGTGTTCACAACAGAAAACTCCTTTAATCGGCTTGTTTGGTCAAACATTGAGTGAATTTTATTATGTTTACTTTTATGTTTATTTGGTTGGTCTGGTTTGTATTCAAATTGTACTTTCTGCAAGGAGATTTTAACTCCTAACAAAGCCACATATGTGACAGTCGTCCTGACTTCAGCAGGACTGAGCTCAGAACTTGAAATGTAGGAAAACTACTTTTTTTCTAGTAGCAAAATTTTTCTTATTCTGTGGACCTCAGACGTTCGAAAAATGTCAGCTATTAAACAGTTAACTGCTCAGGTTACTGTAATTGAGTAAAGCATTAATCCTGCTACTCTGTAAGAACACAATGGAAAATTCCAGGCCATCATTTTTTCACCCATTATGCAGTAGGAAATTTATCTGAAGCAGACAAGCAAGTCATTCTCTAAATCAGTAAAATAAACAGAAAAAAAATACTAATAAAAGTTGAGTGTCTTAGAAAAGGGTCCAGAGAATAGAAGCCCAGCTGTGGTTAGGTTATAGCTATGTTCCCATAGCATACAAACAACACTGCTGTCTTAGAAAGCTTTTCAGTTAAGGGGAATCTTAAAGCATTAAACATGTTATCAGAAAGCAGCATTGACAAGCAATTATGTGTTTCCCCCCTGTGTTATGCAGACATGGAAATATTAAGTTTTAAGGTTTAGGCTGTTAGATAGAGTTAGCTGTTGACTTAGACATAGAGCCACAAAGTTTAGGGAGGTGTTTGTTGTGATGCTGTAGAGCTGGGTGATGGATCTGACTAATCCTTGTTTAGGTCCCTCTTAGGAAAACTAAATTACTCTCAGCAGAATTTAAATAAAGGGGTTGTAATAAAGTGTTTGCATTTGTTTCTCTGAGATAAAACCCACACACCCACAAACAAATGAAGTGAAACAATGCCACATCTAAGAACCAAAAGGGACACCCTTTGCTCCTGGCTCTTCATACGACGCTGGAGCTGTATTCCTTTCCCAGTTACCCCCTCTGATAAGTGTTGCGTCTTTCACCCATCAGGGCAGGTGATGAATGAGGGGGGAACTTTGATGTAATGGAATTTGAATTCTCTAATCGATAGCTTCTCCCCTCAAGTGACAAATTGTCACCCCCTCTGCCCAAATTACAAGGACTCTCATCTATTGCCTCCCGTTGATACGATCCAATAGCATTCCATTAGAGCTGGCTGCAATTCCGTAAAATTGAGAGTGGTTTTCTAGAATTATAAATTCCTGCTAAATAGATGAGAGTTTTCTAAAGTCAAAACAGCTTAACTTGCTGTCATTTTGGGTCCCTGCTTGTCCTCATTAAATACATTGACTATGCTGTTGTTATTAACTGAGCCACATTTTAACAAACAATATTTTTCTGACAGCAGACAAGTCTTTGGTTTCACTTATGTTAAAGGGTAAAAGGGTAAAGCAATAGAACTATCTAACTTCTCTTTCAGTCTTTCCCCAATCTACTCATCTGGTGAGAATGAGTAGATTGAGAAAGAAGTATTTTTGGCCGGAGTGGCGGCCTAGTGATCAGGGAATAGGGCTTGGAATCCTGAGATTGTGCGTTTAAAGCCTACTCCGACAGACTGCAACTCTGGCTCTCTTAAAGGAATAGTACACCCAAAACATGATTAGCCTTCATTTTCTACTCACCCCCATGCTGAACAACACCCTGGAGTACTTTTTTGATATCTCAAATGCATCTGGAGATCTGGGAGGCTTCTTGCTGTCTGCTGACATTCAAATAATGGAGGTCTATGGTGCCCGAGACAGAAAGGTCCATAAAAGTCCACAAAAAACGTGTCAATATTCCTCCATACTGCTCGTCCAATGTATTCCAAGTGTCCTGAGTGGGTAGCATCCAGAATTTACTCGAATCGAAGTCATTTAGAATGTTTTTAGAGCATAAACAGTAGTGTATAGGATTTCCTGAAAGCGCGCACATGCGCGATCACGACGCTACGGAAGCCGGCAGACCAAACCAGATGAAAGTGCGCATTCAGCGTCTGCTCTTCCAATAATGCAAGCGTAGAAGAAGAAATGTGCGTTTACCTGTGCAAAGAAAGAAACAACGAAAGAAAAATGTCTGAGGACTTCAGTGTTGAGGAAGAGCATGAGTTCTTTGCCGAGCTGAATGCGCTGGTTTGGTGTGCCGGCTTCCGTAGCGTCGTGATCGCGCATGTGCGCGCTTTCAGGAAATCCTATACACTACTGTTTATGCTCTAAAATCATTCTAAATGACTTCGTTTCGAGTAAATTCTGGATGCTACCCACTCAGGAAACTTGGAATACATTGGACGAGCAGTATGGAGGAATATTGAAACGTTTTTTGTGGACTTTTATGGACCTTTATGCCTCGGGCGCTGGGCACCTCCATTATTTGAATGTCAGCAGACAGCAAGAAGCCTCCCAGATCTCCAGATGCATTTGAGATATCAAAAAAGTACTCCAGAGTGTTGTTCAGCATGGGGGTGAGTAGAAAATGAAGGCTAATCATGTTTTGGGTGTACTATTCCTTTAAGCCGGGCATACACTTTGCACTTTTTTTCAATCATTGCACACAGCTACAGCTCACACTGTACGACGAATCGGCAGGGTTTTGTCGTACAGTGTGAGTTCACAGCTCACGGTGTATGTTCTCACACTGTGCAGCAGGACGCTCTGATCCGATCTACCTGCTCACACTGTGCGTCTAAAAACCACGTTGGACTGAGCTCCGCAGTGAGATAGCGCTACTCGTACTCCTCTATCCGAAAGCCAAACCAGTAGAAGAGGAATATGAAGCTCACCAGCGTGAAACGTGCTGCCTTGGCAATTTGTGCAATTTTTTGTGCTGAAAAACTCTAGGAATTAAAGGCGGCAATGTATTTGGACAAAGACATGGCCGAGCAAACTTGGCTAATACGGTCTGTCAATTTAAAAGAAAGAACTCCATTTTACTCACACCCCCACCATGCTTCTGTGTTTTCATTTGAGAAGAAGATTTGGGCGATTTGCCCACAAAGGTCGACTGAAAATCAAACATGTTTGATGTTCTCCTGACAGTTCCTGATTGGGAGGTGGTCGTGAGAGGCTGATCGGGCCTCGTTACCCCCTTTACACAACATAACGCACAATCAGGTTGAAAGTTGGCCCAATCTCGCACGACTGGGAAGCTGGACTGAAAAGGGCAAAAAATCGTACAGCGTAAGCCCGGGTTTAGCAAGACACTTAACCCTTAACCCTGTTCCCCCGGCGTCCCAAATGGCAGCTCACTGCTCCACAACGGGACGGGTTAAATGCAGAGAGTGAATTTCATTGCACTGTACTTGTAATTGACAATGTAATGACAATAAAACGCTGGAAACATCACAAACAATAAATTAGAGACCAAGACCTTGGATTTAGTGGGAATTTTTTCTCTTCTGTGCACAATACAGAGAAAAGTTTGCTATTAGAAGAATTTTTTTGCGAAAAGTGGGCATTTTCTCTGATACTAAGTAGGCTAATGCGCACCTCAACTCCACACTTCCAGTAATATGCTAATATAAGAGCTTGTTTTGATTTATAATCTTTTTTAATGGATGCTTAGACTCTTATACTTTCTAGAACTTTTAAACCATTTGTAACAGTTGGCATCAAAGCATTATATTGGCCAGATTAATTAAAGATAAAACAACTAAAATGAAACAATTTTACCAATTATTGTTCAGATATTACGGATTGTTTTTGGGAAATCAAGTTTATGTGATAATTTACGACAGTTGAAAGTCTACAAAATGTGAGTGTTATTACTCATATGCTTACATTTTGATAAAGGAAACTGTTATACTTGGATTTTTGTTTTTTGATATCTCCTGAACAGATAGAAAAAGTCTAGATAAGTTGATGCTAAATTCAGATAAATTATTTTGTCCTCATTGCATAGTACAATCTATTTTGTGACATTTCAAAGGGGAGCTAATCTAACTTACCAAAAAATACAAAAAAAAAAAATCCAATAACACTATATTACAATACTTAAAGGTATAGTGGAGGATTTCTTTGAATTCTTTGAAAAGACCCACCACTCTCCACTTAAAAAAAAATGCACATGCACAACCCTGTACCCGCTCTTGAGAGAGAACACCTATTAAACACATGTGAGAGCATGCATGAGCCCATTTCTCCTCATGCACGCTCTGTTTAAAAGTTGCTGTTTGCATTGCTCGTGCAAGCTTACTTTTTCATAAGATTTGCAATTTTTCCACTGTCAGACTCACCGCCTGTGGGTGAAAATGGGGACAAGCATGTATTACGGCCTTACGTAAACATATGGTGATTTCTGAATTTTTTTTTTATATAGATTATATCTTTCACAATTGACATGCACCTACGATAACTATATCAGACCCCTCCATGATTTCTAAGTGGGAGAACTTACAAAATAGCAGGATGTTCAAATCTTTATTTTCCTCACTGTAGTTTATATTAGTGTGGCCTAATGGTTATATTATGGGAGTTGCTTCCAAAGAGGGCTGCAGTTCCCTGGTTCCACGGACATTGACTTAGGATCCCTGAATGCAGGCAGCCCACTGTTCTTCATGAGGATGGGTTAAATGAAGAGGAAAATAAATCCTTGTAAGGATCTAAAGCTGTAAAAGCAAATAAAGATTAATATTGTTATAATTCTTTTTCTTAAATTCGATAAATCTTTAACTTGAATCTTGGCCCCCTGATTTTAATCCTGTAGGTGTAGAAACATATATCCATTAAACACGCAGCAGAGGTCACAGATTTGCAGACCGCAGTCCGGATCTGGACCCACCTGCTGGCTAATCCAGACCCAACCTGATTTAAAACATTTATAATTTACCACATGTTGTCCACATGCAGTGTCTAATTTCACTTGATCTCGAGAGTTTTGGCAAGATATTCCATCTGACAGCTAAATTTTCTTGGTGAAATCATACCATTTTTGGTGTGCGGTGCTTCTCATGTGGCTGGAAACAAGACTGTATGATCAAAACTATGTTCTATTCTGGACTTTTTGTTATGGACATATGTTTAAATAATGCTGTTTGAAACAGCCAGTAACACAAGCAATGCCTTGATAAATACATGTTATTATTTTACTTTATGATGTATTTCTTCATTTTATTGTCATTTTATCTCTTTTTTTTTTCTTTTCAAAGATGTTGGACTGTAACACAGTATGCCTGTCAGAGCTTGAGTTTACTGCAGACTTTTCCCTAAAGATGACAAAGACAACAGAATGGACGGTAAGAATTACAAAGCCTGATGTTAACATTGCTTTTGACTTCCTATGCTACTGTGCTAACATCATAGGCACACTATTTTACCAGCTTTTATCATAGTTTTATGCAGCAAAAATATTGTCTCAGCAAAAAATAAATAAATATTTACACTTCCGTTATGTTGTTGAAAGTATTTAAGGCAACAAAATGCAACTTATATGTTTGTTCGTCCACTTTTAACACCTGTCATTGAACAGAAATGTGTAAAAATACATAATTGAATCAGAGATATTAACAAATGGGACTTATTAAATGATAATGTTTTATGCAATGTTTTAATTAAAGGATAACTTATCAAATAAAGTTTTTTTTTTTGCATTTCTAACTATATAAACTAGGGATAGGGTGTGCTAATATTTAAATTTTTCATGTGAGATAATTTAGTTCTAAAACTATTGTCCTAAAACCTTTTTAGTGACAGCTTAAGTGGTTGAAGATTGCATTCTGCATTTTAAATTTCTTGTTGATCCAAACAGTACATCCTTTTGTCACTCATATAGGCTTCAGCATCATAGCATCATGTTCAGGTATAAATACGACCCCTTTCAGATTTGTGCGTCCTTAGTGGCAGCAAATAGGGGCATCACTGAATCTATGCCTTGATTTAGCTAAACTGAAAAGCTTCCATCTAGCACACTGGGCAACACAAAATCTCCCTCAACCTCTGGTGTTGATGGGGTTCAAAATCCTCGACCTCAAAATATCAATCCGTGGTATAATTACTAGTATCCTTCTGCTCACTCTTCATGCTTTAATAAAGGCAGGCTAGGCTAGACTAAGCTGCCACTTTCTCTTATAAGCACCATCTGCTGAGCACTCATTAGCCCTGCTCCCGTCTATTCCTGGGTAACAGCCAGCTTGATGGTATTTTTTCTAAATTTGTCCTATGCAACAGGTTAATAAAAGTTTATGTTGTCATTTAAGATTCTTCTGCTAGGTGTCTATCATCATGCACTTAAACACACGACAACACACCTACGTTTATACTTCTACTCAAAGTAGAACATCACAAGGACTGACATTTGTTATAGCTACTACACTTACTAACTTACTTTTATTTAATCGTTACCATTCCTGTTCATAACCTAAATTTAATTCTCGCTATACCTCTAACTCAGCTAAGGAAACACAGCTAACTGTTAGGGGTCAAGATAGTCTGACGAGGGACCTTGAGTAGAATCTGAAGTGCATCATTGTACGCAACTTGTGATTTATACATCTTGGCCTTACTGTAACCAGTTTGCAGATGTGCAGCACACAGTGGAGTACAGTAGGCTTTAAAGTCATAGGGAAGCAGCTGTTCCAAACGTTGCATTCCCGAATTTTCCCGAGTGGTGCATGACTTTACACAAGTGATTAAAGTGAATTTAATTGGTCGTTTATCAATAGGGTGGTATTCTTGTGGCAGAACGTTCGCAAGCAAGTTTGATTGTAGCCAGTTTCTCGGAAGCATCATTGCTAACCAGTTAGCAACTTAGTGCTAGTAGGAAACTACATTGGGACCAAGTAGAACTAAATTGGTGACTTAGTAACGACACTGGCAAGTAATGCTATGGACAGCGGAAACATGCAAGAGGAGGAGAGTTTTGTGTCGGAGGTCGTGGATGAGTCTCCTCCGTCATACATTTTTTATGTAGAGGAGGAAAGCGGGGACGGAGATGTTGTGGAAGAGGACGCCAGGGAGGCAGAAGCTCCATTTGGTGTAAAAGGCTTCCAGCCGTACATGTTTGAGCCCTTGCCTCACAATGCTACCAGTTCTGTTAGCTCTACGCCTGCTGAAGACACAGTTATCCATCCCCTCGAACACTGGGATGGAACTCCCAGTAATAAAGTAATAAAGAATTAATTATTCTTATTTCTTATTTCAGCCGTTGCGTATATTAGCTGCGACATATATGAATCAAGATGCTAAGACACAAAAAAATTTGATGGACAGAGGACTGTTGATATATGACTGGCGGAACTTAGGCGTTCAGACTGACATATAATTAACCGGCCTGCATAAGAAAACGAAAAAAAACCCACAGAATTTAAGACAGGATTTTATTTTTAAATAGAAATTTTCTAAATTTTCAGATGATATTGTCTGATAAAGAGTACATTTATATACATGTTTAAGCCAACGTGCCACCATGTTTTCTTGTACATATATATTACAATACTGTCTCTCTGTATCATCATCACCATCATCATCATCAAAAATTACTCATAACAATATGACTGCCATATTAACCTTGTCCACAACAATGAATACAGTCTGACAGTGTCAAGAGGGGAAATGTCTTGTTCTATTCACCTTTGCCCAAACCATCTTGAACACAATTTTTGTTGTTTTTTTGGCGGGATGTGTTTTGGGGTTTACTGTAGAAAATACCATCAGTCTGTAAAATTTTCCAGTAAAAACAAACATGTAAAGATATACATCTGCTTGATAAAGTAACAGAACACTTGTTTCCTCACTAATCATTAGCTGAGAAAGTTGACATGTTTTGGTCATAATTTGGACACTTAACCATAGGTTTTGAAGGTAAGCCTAGCCATCTAGAAAAGGACGGACAGCCAGCTTTTCTTTTGCTGCTAAAAAGAAAAAAAAAGTATCCCCAAACCACAAAGGTTCCCAGTTTTCTATTTAATTGCAGGGACGGTTTAATGCCTCTGAGACCTTGTAAGAACAGCTGTACTTACAAAGATTAAGCTCCAAGAAGATGGACTTGTCACCTATTTAATAAAGAGGTAAAATCTAAATTACATTCACTGTTTTTTTTTCCCCAGATTTTTTTCAAGATGTCTTAAATTAATTAGTAATTTTCTTTCTGCTTTGTTCATTAAATCACAATAGAGGAAACTGTAGGTAAAGGTGTTTTAAATTTCCATAATTATTAATTTCAACATTATAATTAATATTGTAATAAAAAAGCCAAAATAACACTAGGTCTTCAATTAAATTTGTATAACTTTTGGTTGGGAAGCATCGGTCACTATACCATTTCTTGTAAAATGTGATATTGGACAATTTGGTAGGTTGTTGGCACCATGTGTCCCAGCTGACCTCACAACTCCTTCCCACTGAGACACATTTCTCTCTATAAAACAAGTAGTAAATATAGCTTAGCGACACTTTTTAGCTCCTGATGCTTTGTGAAGCAATCTGTCTCACAGACCCTATTGTGTCGAAGAGGTCCTGTGTCGCATCGTAGTGTTTTTGTGCTGCACTGTCGGGTGTATTGGTTTAATGGACAATCAATACATAGTTATTATCTGGCCTGTGCTCTCTGGATAAAGCTGGTGGATATAATGGCATTCGTAAACATCCTCTCATTTTTCCTGTCTTCTCTCCTCTGTAATTGAAAACATCCAAGTTCTATTTCTTGGCTCTAAGTGCAGGCATACTTGGAGTCCAATGCAGGAAAACAGATGATTCAATATAAGGGCAAGGCGTGTTGAGTTTTTCTTTAATTACATTTTTTTTAGCTGTTGCTTTTTTCTCTTTTGCTTCCAATTAATCTCGCCACGAAGATCTTGTGAGGAACTGCAAAAACACACATATTTCTCCAGTTACCAGATTCATCTTTTTTTTCTGACATGTGTTTAATCCAAATGTGTATGTCCTGTGTGATAGAAATCACTTGGGGAGTTTCTACTGTAACAAGCCTCCTCCTCTTACATCCCACCTTTAAAGATACTGATCTGTTGTCAGACTTGGCTCTAGCTTCTTAGTAGTAGTTGAGGGTATAATGTGTGAAGGGTAAAATGCTCCTAGACTAGTGTTTGGGGATTGGGAAGAGGGTAGCTGCTGCCTCTCCTGTCCTGTGATTGAACGCCTGCTTTTGTTCTCTCGCCGACAGTCCATTCATCAGCTCAGGCTGCCTAACCTTGCATTAAATGAACAGCACTACCCGTGCGTCTGCGCCTTTCCAGCATAAGACAAATCCTCCTGCTTTTGCTTTTATTTTTTATTTTTTGAAACCCTCCCTTCTTTTCCTGTCACTTATATCTCACAAGTTCAGTCCCTTTTTACACACACTGCCTTTAAAAAACACAGACAGGAACAAATATAGGTGATGAAAGTTTCATTAAATGGAGGGTTGTTGTTTTTTTTGTTTTCTTTTTTCTCTACCAACTCATTTTTTGGCTCTCCGTCATTATACCATCATGATAACTTACCTAATTCGAGAAAAGGTAAGAAAATGGCCTCAATGTCTTCCCAGGGCTGGCAGTGATGTATGTTGATGCATAGAAAGAGAGAATAAGTTTCTGTGAATAATTAATTTTACACCGCTGTCTAACTGCTGCTGACGTGGTTACTGTAGCTGTGCTGAGCAGAGGCAAAAAAAAACCCTGTGCAATTCATCTCTAACCTACTTTCCATCAAATTTAAATTGTGTGTCGTGAGCGTTGGTTTTAAGGTCAGGCCCTCGTCAACTTCAAGGACACTTTAGTGCATTAAGAAGAGAATCATTAATGGAGAAACTCACTTTGTAGTCTACATCACTACATCAGTATATTATGTTAAAGGGACGATATCAACTAGCCATGAGTATTATTTGTAAACAAACTATTTCCCTGTGGAAGCAGTGGTTTCTATGAGACACTCATTTGTCATGTTATTGAAAGGGTGTTAGTTAAAAATACTATATTCCTTATTTTCCGGACTATAGAGCACACCTCACTAACATGCTCAATAAATGTTTTGAAAAAAAATGGAAATGTACGTATATAAGCCAGACCAAGCTATAAGCCGCTGATATCTACTGAACTGTCTTCCACCAAACCTTTAGGGGGAGCTCTACATATAGCCTCTGTAGTAGGGATGAAGAAGAACACTAGCTCCCGTTAGCTTGTTGGCTGGTAGTAGTAAGAGCTTCTACTGAAAGATGGGGCTTCTTCAGCTCCTTATTTCAGCTCTGCAGGAGTTGAGCCCAGTCTCTTCATTGGTTCGGCAGTGTTAATAAATCGCAAAATGT